AAATTCCACGCCGAGACCCCCCCCCCCCTTAATCTCCAAGCCTGAGCTGCTCAAACAGCCACAAATCTAACTCTCTAGTCTCAAAAAATGGACTTCGCCTGAGGAATAGAGTTTGGTAGTATTCGAATTTGAGCTCTCGTGTGTCGTTCGAGGTTGAAGGGTCGCGATTATTGTTCCTGATTTCATAGCTTGTTTTTTTCAATCAAATTTCAGCACATCTCAGGTTCATTTCTTGGACTTCCGTCTCTCTTATTTTGGAAACCTTATATACTTGTGAGTTTCTAATTGCATTTAATATATGAATTGATGTGTTTGAGTCTTAGCCTGACTATATGTTGTATATGCTTTTGTGTTATGCGTGCTTTAAACCAAATGTTCTTGGTCGGAAATTGCAGTAATGGGCTTGTCGGCTTTGCTCGATTGGTTCTGCTCTTTATTGACTTCTTCCCTTAATGTAGTCCAATTAATTTGAACTGCAAATCAATAGTGCGACATTGTGTTTGGATTTAAAAGAATCGGAGTCCAAGTTTCATATTCATTGTCCTACTTTACTGCTCTAATTAAGTGTTTGGCAGAAGTAAACAATTTCATATGTTGGTTGGAGATTCTTGGTTTGAAGTTAATTCATGAAACTGTAATTGGAAGACAAGGATAACTACTTTAATTTGCTGCAAATGGGACATGGGATTGGGATTCGGTAAACTTAAAAGAACTTGAATATTTGATAAACATGGATCAATAAAGTTAATATATGGCTTGGGTTTGGATATGAAGCATTACATTTTGTTTTTACTGTCGCATTATTTTTGTTTGTTACTTCATTTGGCTTTATGCATTTGTTTTGACCGTTATGAGCATGTTTAGGCCGTTAATATTCATAAACATCGTAGCTTGCTTTAGGCTCGATTTAGATTAGTAGTGTGATTATGTATACGTTCGCGTAACATAATTGCAAATTTAACTCTAAAATGACTCGAGGGATGCGTTCGCACAACCTCAACCAAACTTTCTTAATAAATCATCAAAAGCGTTATTAATCACGGACACGTTCGCGTGACATGATTTTTGACGCGCCAAACAAGCGGCTATACGTACGCGTAACCCATTTCAAGATAATTTTCTTAATTAAAAGCGGTGAAAGAAGCACAAGCACATAGGTTCTAAAATCAGCAATTAAATAATTTAATGAGCCAAGTATTATCAAAGCGACCGTGCTAGAACCACGGAACTCGGGAGTGCCTAACACCTTCTCCCGGGTTAACAGAATTCCTTACCCGGATTTCTGATTCGCAGACTATAATAACAGAGTCATTCTTTTCCTCGATTCGGGATTTAAACCGGTGACTTGGGACACCATAAATCTCCCAAGTGGCGACTCTGATTTTAATAAAATGGATCCCGTTTCGATTGTCACTTCAAGTTGGAAATAACTCCCTTTATTATTACACCCTTTCGGGGGTGTAGTAGAAAAGGAGGTGTGACAACGTTGAATAAAATGTGTCGCGGATCCGGGTGCATTTCATGTGACGTGATCCAAAAACACGTTTTAAATGACGTTCAACTTTCCTTAAAAATCAATTAAAAGCGGTCAATAATGAGACGTATTTCTGATGCTACTATGTGGGTTCCGGCTGCTCAAGATCACATAAGAGACGTATTTCTGATGCTACTAAGCCTGAGAATGAGAAGTAACGGACCTCATGGTTATAATAACCCAAGGAGAAAAGTGTGGGAGGGAGAAAAAGGAAAAATGTAAAATGGAGCTTAAGTGGCCTTTTGACAAGATATGACATGTCAAACAAGCACAAGTACCCTTTCGTAGAAAAACAGGACAGTCAACAAGCTAATGAAGCCAAAACCATGAGTTCTTCAACTTACACATAAGATGTACTGAAAGCAAAAAATACCTACACATAATTCAATACAATAATTGTCATGTCGCGCCGTAATACAACTAGAATGAGATGGACCACAAACTAGAAAAAACCAACAATATCAAACAGCTAAGGTAAGAAAACTTCCTATGAATGCATATATGGTTGCAAGCATTCGTCTCAATCGCATGTGTACATACATGACCACTGAATTAGTGGTTCCTAGTTCCATAGTAGTTTACGAAGAAAACTCACTTACCTATGTTTGGAACACTCTTAAGGCACAGTTCATGGATCCTTAAGCTTTGTTTATGAACACCACAAAGCCCTTGAAGCAGAATTTCAAGGGCCTCAACATGCTGCAGATATGGCTAGCACTGTCAAAATCTTTTCAATATTCAATTGCCAAATTCCATATTCAATGCCATAAAGTTAGCAGGCAAAGTTTTTACAAGTAGCATACCTTCCTAACTATTAGAGTAAAGAAAAGAGACAGCGAGAGATTTTGTCATCGCTCAGTGTACTTACTTGAGTCTCAATAATCCCCTGAACCACACACTCCATTCCCACTTCAATTTATTCTACCTCACATGCAAAAGAACCTTTTGTAACGCACCTGTGAGTCCAAAAATCAAAAGAAAGTAAGTTGAACTAAAGAGTGAAAAGGAAAACGTTAACACCTAACAAAATTATAAAGGTGTCGTCTACACTCTTCTTATGAAGTGCATTGCCTGAAGATGAAAGAGCAATTGCCTAACAACGCCCGGAGTTGAGGAAAGTGAAACCAAAATCCTGCTCCTACAAACTACTACAAATCTACAATATAGGACTAAATCCCTAATAGCAAAGACATCATATCAGTTATAGATTAAATTGGATCCACCAAATGGCAAATGCTTTCAAAAACATGACTTTCCAGCTAAAAATTCGTTAAAATGACAAATGTTTAACAATAGCATTATCATTTAAAAAACAATTTGACCTCCAAAACAATTTAAGGAAGAAACAAAAAAGGCAAAATGAATCGGAAAGAAAACTGTTGAAAAAAAAACAGAAAGAGAACAATTAAACGTCTAGCAGCTTTCTTTCTCCGGAGCAAATCCATGGGTTTGAGCTCATGATCCCCCCACAACAAATTTGATTTACTGGGTAAGAAATCAATTATTTGTACTTGTTTAGTGAAGTTTTTAGCACATATACAGTTACTGGGTTCGGATAAACCCATAACTTACACTGTACATCCGCCCCTATTTTGATTTGCACCGGGTGTCCGAGTCTCTAAGAGCCCCGACTACTCCCGGGGGTGCACAGGCCCTCGGCAAGGAGTTTCCCGCAAGTGCACCACTGTTAATTCAGGTTTTACCCAGTCCGATGGCCCTCAGAAATTGTTTGCACCCAGCGGGTTTCGAACTTGAGACCTTGAAAGGGAGCAAACCCCAAGGCTCAAGTCTATTGCCACTAGGCCAACCCCGAGGGTTATCCGCCCCTATTTCCCTCCAATTACACCTTGAAAGGGGAAAAAAATCCAAATTTACTTGTAAAAATCACAAAGAAAGATGAAAAATTAAGAGTAAATTAGAGAAGAGGCTTTTGTTGAGCAGTCGGAGAAGGACACAAGGAATTGAAGCAACCCAATTCACTATTCCTACTTAAGATAAAAGAAAAATCAGCGGAAAAGGGGATCAGTATTTTTGCATCATGAGAATTGTGACCCAAAATTAAGTAGAAAAAAATAAAGGGGGTGGGAAGAGGATAGGGTTTTACTCTGTTAAGAAACGAAGAAAAGAAAAATCTAGAGAGGTAAAGTAAGAGAGGAGCGTACGAGGAGTTTGCCGAAGAAGAAGACTATTTAGCACTTGACACTAGCGACTTCCCAAGTGATTTGGGTTTCAAAAGCTCTGCAAAGTCTCAAAATAACAATGTGCATAGAGTTTAAGAAAAGTCATGAAAATTTTCAAATCTTGTGCTCTTAAATTGAAAAGGGCAAAATGGCCAAATATATCCTTGTATTATGAAAAATGTTTAAATATATCATCCGTTATATTTTAGGTCTAAATATACCCTATCGTAATATTATTGACCGCTTTTCATTGATTTTTAAGGAAAGTTGAACGTCGTTTAAAACGTGTTTTTTGGATCATGTCACATGAAATGCACCCGGATCCGCGACACATTTTATTCAACGTTTTGGGATTTGGATTTGGGTCACATGAAATGCGCACCCGAGTTTAGGAAAATAGATTTATTAAAATAGCGCGCCTAAAGCAACTACACACTTTCAAGTTTGCTAGGGCCATGGAAATTTGCTAAATGGCGTGCCTCGAATTATTTCAAAAGGTTGCACTCAACTTAAAGCAAACTACAGATGTTCATAATTTGTTGGTTTTACTAAATTTGAGATTGTTTGCAAAGTCATAAACCATGGATTCATAATTGCAACAAGTGGTTATTGCGATAGTGAATCAACCTGAAATTATCATGTGTGCGCTCACATCCATAGGAACTGTACTAACATTTTACACCATAAAAATCTTTTAGGCAACAACGCCATAGGTTCTAATTATCTAGTCATTGCACAAGCATGAGCAAACTTGAGGGAGTATTCCGATTATTGCTAAGCAGCCCTTAATCATTGAGCTTAACCACACTTTATGAGTAAAACAAGTATAGTGACTAAAAACAACACTAATACGTCTATTGTCCATCTTTTGCATTTGTAGTTGTACATTGAATACATGTAAACAACGGCCTTGACTTCTCTTTTATGATAAGCAAACAATCAGTTAACTTCATACAAAATCGAATAAAACAACACTTCTATTGAACTAAACATGATTCATACAGCGGACATCACCTATATCTTTATACATCGTGTCCAGACTTTGATTTTTTTTTAGGAACAAAATTAGCTTGAAACTGATTTACTTCAGCTAATCTGGAATTCATAAATATGTTATTATCACAACGAAAAGTTCAAACCAACAGGAATTTGTATTAAATTTCATTCCATTTAACCAAGTACTACAAGCTTAGGAATATGTATGTACCTGTTTGAAGCAAGAGCGAGAACGGCTCGACTGAAAAACAAAATAGAGCGAAATGCTTCAGCAACAATTAGCAATTCAGACCTCAAAAAACGAAGAAGAACTCAGCAGACCAGCAACACAACAATGAAAATCAGCACACAAAAACCATGAACTCTACTTCCACAGCTTGCACAAACCAGAGAAAGAAGAAGTCGGGTCTTGAAATCGATTTTCGTCAATGTTCCTTTAGAAATTCAGATTCTGCTTTCATTTGTTTACCTTCAAACTTTGGTGACTTTTCATCTTCATTTTCAAATAGGGGTGTGTGTGAAGAAGAAGAGAACAGGGAATTGGAGCTTGATTTTAGAGCAGATTTTCGCTCCTCTCTCTCAGAAATCGGAAGTGTACCGCCGCAGCTCTCTCTCTTATTTCTTGAAGAAGGGAAGGTCTGTCTAAGTCTAGGGTTTATTTAGTGTGAGCGAAACGGGTCGGTTCGGGTCGGAGCTTGGGCTGGCGGGTTTGGGTAATTATTTTTGAGGGGAGGAAGTCTTTGGGCTGAGTTAAAGGTAGCCCAATTCCGAAAATGACACCCCTTCTTCAATTTTCTTTTATTTCTAATTTCCTTTTCTTTTCTTTTTTTTTAATTAAAAGTCCTAAAATTAAAATTCTAGATTATCTAAAAAATATGAAATTAAACTAATTAGCTAATTATAAAAATTATAAAAGCTACTTAATCCTAAATTAAAAGAGAAAATAAAAAAAATGAAGCATTTTTTTTTTTGTGATTTTCAATTTTTATGAAACAAGTAATTACTGATTAATTCTAAAAGTGTAAAATAAATCCTAGATGCAATGCATGATATTTTTTGGTATTTTTCATGATTTAAATAAAACATGCACAAAATGCAAACGATTAAATAAAATTTTACAAAAATTTCTAAAAATAGCAAAAAATTAAGAAAAGTATATTTTCTTGGGATTTTATAGGAGTATTTCGTATAGGGCAAAAATCATAAACCGACCGAACCGTACCGAATCGACTTTTAGGTTTCTTTTAATAAAATCGTAGGTTTTTATATAAATATATAACCGAACCAATAATTAGGATNTAAAAACACAAGGGTATGTAGCGATATGAGTAGAAAACTACAATGTATTGAATATGTTTCCTTTTGTATGATTTAGATTTATCTTTTTGAATATTTAATCTTCTATAGACTTTATTCTTGAGACTCAACTTGGTTAATATCTTTCCACTCGTATGATTTATATTTTTTGTATTTGCTTAGTTTCTTTTACGCTGATGTAGAATAGTTGATGGATCTATACTCTAGCCATCTTTTATATTTTCTTAATTTATCACCTTTTAAACTGTAAAAATATCTAGAGAGTTTTGCTAAGTCCTATAAAGGTACGTATGTTATTGCATTCTACTTCTAGTAGTGATTTTTACATGACATTTTAAAAAAATTACTGAATATTTACTGAACCGTACCGATACCGAAGCGAAACCGACATGATTGGGACGGTTTTGAAAAGTCTAATTTTGGTTATACATAATAAAATATCGAAAATTTAGTATGGTATAAATTTTATAAAATAATCGGCCGAACCGAACCATTGGCACCCCTAATAGCTACTGCAAGTGCCGCTATATATGCATTTATAATTATGAACGAAACATTATTACAATATTATTACAGACGCTGCTTCTAAAATATAATTCAGAAACGCAGAATTTCTGACCAATAATTCAAACTTAAGCAACATAAATTAGTAGCCCAGTTGAAGTAGAATAAATTAAGATCTTCATAAATAATATGTTAGAAATTAACGTGGTTTATTTCTTCATGCCAGTGGCATTTTTAACGGCATTTGCTGCTTCTAGTGTTTTGGTCTTCACTTGCTGCCCCACCTATATCAAAATATCACCAAAATTAAAAAGAATATTTTTGATATAAATAAGCTTTAAAAATTTAGATTTATTACAAAGACTAATATATACAGGATGCTAGTGCGAAACTAAGATTTTGAGGTAAAGGGATTTAAACTCTAAAAGAGGTGTTTCGCTGCTCTGAATAAAATTAATTTATATAATTTAAATGAATTTTGAAGAGACTAATGGCTAAAGTAATCGCTCATCAACCGTTTAAATTAAAAATAGCCAGCCAATATATAATTTATGTATAGACCGGAATAAAAATACTAATAAACAGTAAATTCGATCGGCTATTTGTGTAAATATCATATTTGATTGATAAATGATAATTACAAAATCCGAACCTCTTGCGGCTGTTTCCTTGGCAGACTGCACAACAGTTCCCAAGCCTTCTCCATCAATTGACTACCTTTTACCTGAATGCAATCGCAATTCCAAAATAACCACAGTGTTATCTAGGAAGTAGTTCTAAAACAATTAAAATTCTTTTACGTGTAGACATCTAAGAGTGAAAAAATAAGAACCAAATTCAAATGCAAAAAGGAGAGTTTTTCTGTTTCAAAATGATACAAATGGTGTCGCGAATCCATTACATGTTTTCACCAAATACAAAGTATCCTTATAATTTGTTCATTATATATTGACGGATCCACAATATTTTTTATCTCATTTGTTATGAACGTCATGGTCTCTTATGATTTTATCAACTTTATTGACTATAAGCTCACTAAATGGAATGTAAAAAAAAAAAAAAACTTATGAACCTATAATGTCGAGAAAGAAGGGCTAAAAGGCGCCCCTACTCGATGGAATGAAATTAGGTAAAACTAAGATTGGACCATGATTTTCTAACAATTGTACTGATATTCGGGTCAACTTGCACGAGATATAATTTCTATTCATCATATTTAAACAGATAAAATAATTATCACACCAACTAAAAAATGAAAATCGCATGGACAGAGATACCGAAGATTAATGCAAAACCTGGGCTTGGCCTAAAAAGCTACAACAACCAATATCGTAGCACAATTTCTGATTTTGTCCATGGTTTTTG